ATGAGGGTGGTTTTCTTTCGATTGTCAGAGTTATCTTTGATCTTTGTCTGCTACACATGTTTTAAAGAAAAAGTATCAGAATTGTGGAATTAAAGTGTTTTTCAGGAAAAACAAGTGCCATCTTTCAGTTTATTTTCACAAATACAATGCTCAAAACGTTATGGGCATTTTTCTCAGTATTTTACTTTTTTGACAAGTTGATAGATGCGAACTTTAAAAGGCCATAACCTGTCAACAGAATGTCCAATTGAAGTGCTACGAACAGTAGGCCTATTGTAAGGACAATTTTATTCTCTTTCCTAATACCCAGAACAAACCCTCATTCCGACCTCTGCCCAGTTCTGTCAAATTTTGCCAGAGCGCCTCACATGTACATGTAGATGTGTATCACATTCCAACCTGTGTTCTAACATTTTGTCTTCTTCAAGCTAACCATAAAAATTTGCTGATAGAAACCTGATTTTGTTGCCAAAAAAGTACAGACTTATGATATATGAAGTGTGCGTCGTATCTGTGAATACTGAAATTGTTGGTAAGAATCTGCAAAGTACGGAAAGGTCTCTTGTTCAGGTCAAAGGCTAATGAACTCAGTACACTTGTAACCTCTTGAGATGACAGAAGCGAAGGACTTTGGGCCTCTCAAAAACAAAGAAACTGATATCTAATCACTTGTCTCTTTAGAGGCTGAACAGGCTTTTGTAATATCTGTTGTTGTTTTTTCTTCTGAAGTCCACCCCTCAATTTTTTTGACTTTTTTCAGGTTTAAGGGAATATACAACATTTGCTTTTGCAGTAATTTTTACAAATGGATAGATTGGGGGGGGGGGGGGGTTACTATTTTATAGTAAATACTGTTACACTGACTAAGTAAGGAAATTGTAAGGTCATCTAGCTGGCTTGTACCCGTTCGACGTTTATCGATTGCAAACAAAATGCGGACTAACTAATATTGTAAACCGGGTGCAGCATTTGAACGGTGCTTGGCCGACCAGCGTTGGAAATTGATACAAAAAAACACTTCTTTTTTTTAAATGACAGCACACCAGGTGTCATGATTTTACAGGATTCTTGAGACTGTCATTCACTAACAGTCCAATAAGGTATAAGTTTTTCACAATAATTTGGTATTTATACAAAAAATGTTTATGTTTGCAAATGTTGTATATTCCCTTTAAGCAGTGGTTGTAAATTTTGAAGTGGTGGTAATGCAATTGCAAGATACATGTATTCCAACTTATTGAAATTCCAAAAAGGTTCTTGAGCTACAAATGTTGTTCAGCACTTTTTCAGGAAATTGTTGGCTGTATATTTGTAGTGAAAAGCTCCTTGTTTCATTATCATTTGTGCTTCTGAAAAACATGCAAGGACGTTACCTTCATACAACTTGGATACAATCAGTGTTTGGGACAAACAAGTTTATCTCTGACCGGAGCTTCCTGAATTATATCATTGGCATCCATGACATTGATACTGCGAGTCTGTATGTGCGTACATGAGTAAAATTGATCAAGGACCACTAGCTGACCAGTGGTCGAAATTTTTAATTGCACAATTTTAAACTGCAAATGTTGCAATCAACCATGATCACAAATCTTTGCAGCCATGGATTCCTGGTGTAAGTGTCATACTGACACACGTAATGATAGGCAATTATGTGGGCAACCTAAGATAGCTGTTCCTGACTAGTCCACTAGACCATCATCAACTAGTGTGCATTTGATAAGAGTTAGTCAAACTACTAACCTAATATTTTTTAAGGTTGAACAAAGAAATTGACTGGAGTAGGGTTTGAACCTGCGACCTCCGGATTGGCGTATCCGTGTTCTACCAACTGAGCTATCCAGCCCTACATGTATGCTGGCAGGGACATTTGAAATTGTTTGTTTTAACCGTCTGTAGTTTCGTGATTCCAGTATAGGTTTGCCCTTTGCTTTTCTTTTTATCAACATGGTGTTTTTTGTATTAAAGACAGCAGAAAGCTATGCCCTAGTCTATAACAAATTAGCTCAAGTTGTCCGAGTCATATGGGCCGTGTATTGTCTACTGTGAACTTCAAAAATGGAGTCTCCATGGCAAACTCTTGGTGGCGCACTGCATTGTGAATCACCCAAATTGGCTTGATGTAACCAAAACCATGGGATTCTGCTTGCAACGACAAAATCAGGCTACGTCAATGATCATCAAGATCTCCCGCCACATGGCCTTAATCTCCAGGGAGTCTCTGCCGTTTCCTGCACAGCTGACGATTATGACGAGTTTCCTCTACGAGACTCAGCTTTTCATCCTCCTTGACAAACTAGCCAGGATCCTTCCTTTGACCTTGAGGTCTTCAGTCCCAAGATTCTATGATGAATTGCTGATTAATGGGAAAAAGTACATTCCCTCTCTTTTTTTTTTTTGAAAACTGAGGGGGTGGTGGCTTGAGTAATGGGGAGATTTTTGTTAAGGAGGACACTTTTCAAAGTACCGTCTGCACTAACCATTCAACTTCAGTATGTGATGCACAAGTAAGTTTAAGTGGTCTTTTCAAGCAATTATTTTCAATTCAAACTGAGATATAAAATTCCTCAGAACCTGATAACTTGGCATCAAGGGATTTGCCACACTCTGTTTTCACACGTTCTAAGAATATGATTATGTGTATTACACAAACGCATCACAAACAAACATCAATAATAGTGTCACTCTGGTGTATCATACACAGTTGAACAATGTTGGATGTCAGAAAAAAAGTTCTGACTGATGCTTACATGTAAAACCCTAACCCTGCAGGGTATTTTGGCTAGAAACCCTGCCAAACATAGCAGAATGCAACACTTGTCTCAGTGACAAGCCTGCCCAGTGCAGCAAGGTCTATCAGAAACTGCCTCAGAGTCTGTGGCTACAGAATGCAGCAGGATGCAACTGAGGCATTGTTTTATCGGACTTGCTCTTATTGTCTCAGAAGTGGCCGTTTATGCACCGGTGTCGGTGGTTGAATGCATCAAAGTGCATCAGACTTTTCCTCCTGATGCACTGTTGCGTCTGGCAGGGTTAGCGTTTTAACATGATTTTTAGAAGGATTGACAAATGGATCCAACAGGTGCTTATTTTTCTCAGAATTATTAGGCATTGAGCGAGACTATTGGCACATGTGCGAGACACATATTTTTAATGCCGGAAACTCTTCAGATCTGGGCCCAATTTCACGACCCAGCTTAGCACAAAAATTTGCTTAGCACAAAAAAAAAGTCTGGCTTATAAAAGCAGGTTATCAGCCAAAACTCCAGGTGGTTTTCATGCTAAGCAAACAACAGCTGATTACCAATCACAAGCAATATACATCACGTGGAGTTTTGGCTGGTAACCTGCTTTTACATGTATAGGCCAGACTTTTTTGTGCTAAGCAAATTTTTGTGCTTAGCAGCGCCGTGAAATTGGCCCCAGGTATGGAGGTAGAATTAGACTCTCTTTCTTTGTGTTCACTATGTTTTAATAACTTGCTGTGAATCCCATCATTGAGCTTTTGCATTGTTTAGTGGGTTCAGGACTTTAAATCTGTAACTGTCCTGAATCCTCCAATTTTAATACAATTTTGCACACCCCCTACAAGTACTAGGGAGTTAGGGGAAGTACCCGGCCATTATGACTTCAAGTACACTTCAGGAAAAGCCAAACTGGTTCTTCACTTTTATGAGGATGCAGGAAATGTCCTTTCCAAAATTCCAAGCGAGTTAGGTTCAAGGCACTATATGAAACTTCACCTGGAAAAACGATTTGTTTCTTAATTTGGCAAACTCTGCTGCAGCTAAGAAGGAAACTCTAGAGAGTGGTACTTTCCCAAAATAACCCTGAAACGGATGATGAAATTGTTCAACTTTTCACCTGGCCATACCACTTTACTGTCCACACACACAATGGCAGGAAACATTAACACCGACAACAACAGGAAACTCAAGACATGGTGTGATTTGCTGACCCACTATCTGTCTGGTATTTTCTCGACTGGGAAAGGAAGTTAGTACTGGTGGCCAATGAACTTGTTACCTGGTCAACAGAGGGCGGCAGACACTTCACAAATGGTTCAGCAATTGATTTCCACATGTTACTGTAACAATTTAGGGGGGAAGCACTGATGGAAACTTCAATGGTTTTCTTTGAAGACACTGTGGGCGTATTCGAAACCCCGTTCTCGTGTTGAATGAACACGAGATTGGGTGTTCAAATGATCACACAAACGGTGTTTGCGAACAGTATTTTCACTCCCCACTTATTGGGGAATAGCTGGAGAATATCAAGAACAAAGACGGCGGACCTTGGCCTCTACTGCAACTTGTGTTAATTTTTTGTGCATAAAATTGAAAGCAAACATTCAGTGCAAGAGCATTTAAGATTAAAAATAGTATTGCACATGATTCGAAGAGTGGGCTTGTATTTGCCATTATTTTTTTACAGCTGCTCCTATATTTAAATTAAAAGTCGCATATCGCATGGTTATAAACGTATCCAAAAGACGGAGGACTGTGCTGTATTGCGTAAATGCAAATTAATGGAAGGTTACAGCCACTAATATTCCAGTACACAGTACAAAAAACAATGCTCAGGATTTTAAGCTCATTGCTTTTTCACACTACCATGCGGAGTTTACGTTTGCAGTATAAGCACCTTCAAATTTTTCCCTGCAGGGAATTTTGTTACTGTGCTCGACGGTTTTAAACATACAAATCTCGCGGTACGTTATTGGACTTCATATCAGCGCTTTCCGGGAACCAATCAACGGTCGAGATACTGCGATGATGATGCACGGAGGTAGTACTGACGGTCTAATTGACATAAGATGGCCCCGCCCCCATTGCTACGAAATGACTAAGACGTCAGTACGAGAAAGTAAAAACCCAATTATGCAAGTGCGCTACACAACAATGCAACTATTTCTCTTGATCACTGACGTCTTTGGCCAAGACTACCATAATATTTGAACTGAAGAAGATGTTGCGTTCACTGAAATTTTGAGAACTTACCTCTTCATCTTCTTCATCATCTTCCTCTCCTCCTGATGATGAGGAGTCGCTGATGTACTCTTTACTCTTATAGTTGCCTCCTGACCCTGCACTCGATGGCTTCTTGGACGGGCTGGATGCGGAATCTGAAGACTTGGACTTGGATTTTGTTTTGGTTTTGGTTTTGGGTTGTTTGCTAAAAAAAAGGGAAAAAAAGAAAGAAAGCAAGTCAGAAACATCGATATAATAACAACCGTATTTATATAGCGCCTTTTCCAAAGATTACAAAGCGCTGGGGGAGAATGCAACCAAAGACCGGTAAATGAAGAATATGAACATAATTATGAGACCCATTATGTAGCACCTTTTTTGCTAGGTGCTGCGGCGCATATTGCAGCCACTGCCAGAAACACCGGGGCAAACCCCTTCTCTTAGAGATAGGTGTTACTGGGTTCTTTAACGTGCATCCGAAGGACGAAGCAATAACAGTAAAGTGCCTTGCTCAAGAGCACAAGCACTATGTTCCCATGGTCAGGATTCGAACCCATGTACCACGGCACACGAGTCGAACACTGTAACCATTGGACCACAGCGCCCTACAGACTAGAGAATTTGAACCTGTGATCTCCAGAAACCCCTTCTCTTAGCGATAGGTGTTACTGGGTTCTTTAACGTGCATCCGAAGGACGAAGCAATAACGGTAAAGTGCCTTGCTCAAGAGCACAAGCACTATGTTCCCATGGTCAGGATTCGAACCCATGTACCACGGCACACGAGTCGAACACCGTAGCCATTGGACCACAGCGCCCTACAGACTAGAGAATTTGAACCTGTGATCTAACCAATTAAGATATCAACCAATTAAGATATCAAGCCCTTTGTTGGTACGGTAGTTGTCACATATTTGTGTTAATGTCTTTGTCAAGAAATAGTCAGAAGACATTAACACATGTGTTACTGCTGTCAGTGTTTCCCCTGCCCATTCAAACGTAAGGTGGCCCACCTCGCTACTTTCAGTGACCACCTCGCTCAATTTTTGCCAATATTACCACCTCGCTGTCAAGATTTACAATAAAGGAAATATCAATTGGAAAAATATTATTTTGTGTAATATATGAGCGTTTTCCTTTACCTCCATGTATCAAGAACTCACAGTTTCAATGTGTTTTTGGAATCATCGCGCATTTCTGTGAGTGCTGCATTCTTTTCAGTTCGCAGACTGCATAAATTTCATTTCAATCATCTTGTTACCACCTCGCTCAGGTCATTAGGCAGGGGAAACACTGACTGCTGTGATGTTAAAAATGGGAGTTCAATTTCTTCATTGCAAGCAGGATGTGACAAACAAATCCTCTTGTTTTGGTAGTTCATCATACGCGGGGCAGCATGCTTCCGAGCAACAGTAATTCAGTTTACTTTTGTTGTCCCTGAAGCCTATGATTTGTCATTAGTTTTTCCTTTGTTTGGAAATACTTTGCCCTGGTCATGGTCTAACTCCCCTCCTGCATCCATTATTACCCTCATTCATTCATTCATTTATTCATTTATTCATTTATTCATTCATTTATTCGTTCATTCATTCATTTATTCATTCATTTATTCATTCATTCGCGGAGTCAGTCAGTCAGTCAGTCAGGCAGATTCGTCCCCTAGCTGCTTTCTACTATTGTTTTTATTATTATGTTAATTTTTTATTTATTCATTTTGTTTCCTCATGTATTTTTCTTATTTCTCAATCTTTATTTTGTTTGTTACTTAGAATGTTACTTAAATAATCTATTTTATTTTCCACTTATTCATTTATTTCTTTGATAGTTTTTTTTTTTTTTACTTATTTTAGTATTTGTTTTGCGTTGTTTTCCTTGATGTTTATGTGCTTGTTTTTTGTCATATCTGTTTGTATGATTTGTCCTGGTCAAATAAATAATAATAATAAAAATAAACATTGTATGTATTAAGTTTCAACCAGTAAATAAAAAATTTACAAAAGGGTTTCTGTTTTGACATTTGTAAACCAATTCATTGTTTGTTTAAATGTTTTAACATGCATGTCACATCTACTGTGTTCATGTAAGTAATTAGATTATCAAATATGTACCGTTTTGTTGGTGTCATGTGACACAAAGTGATATCATAACATTGCACCCCCCATTAAAAAAACAAAACAATTTAAGCATCTTGAAGATCTAGAGGCATCCTACTTAAAAGACAATCTCAACTTTTCAAACAGATTCAACATGTATACTGTAGTATAATAAACACTCGGGGGACAAAAACATTAAAACATAAATGAGTGCATCTCGTGTAAAAGCTATAAATCAACAGGAAATTGTGCCAAGATTGCGTAGGGTAAAGAAATTAAGTTTACATCCTTGAACCTAATGTACATCAACAAACATGTTTACATTACCGGTAATGATTCATGTATATGTACCGGTTTGAACATGGTGTATGACGACAGTGAATGAAACAGCATTTTCTGTGCATGGTGGGGAATCTGATATAAGACAACTGAAAAACACTTATCATCGTTGTTCTGCTTAAATACTGCAGGATTAGCATCTGGTTGTGTGTAATAAACAGCCAGATATTGGATATCTGCAAAAGTGAGTAAACCTTATATTTTTGAAAACTAGTTTTAGAAAAGGAAAAACAAACTGCCATAGTATAAATGTGTCCCTCTGTATCAGAGGGATATTATCACAGTTATATTTCCTCAAAAACACTAATTAAAAAAAAAAAAAACTTGGGGCAAATTATTCCCTAAGTCATCATTAGGTGTGCTTCCACATCACTATTTTCTCTACAATGTTTATGTTGCTTGAGAAAATATCAATTAGATCATTTGAATGCTAGCTTCGGTTCCATTTGTTGTTTGCAGTGTTGGTTGTATCACACTTGAGAAATACCAGCACTCAAGTACTAATTTTGGATACTCACATGTGTACTCGTACATGTCTGGCTTTTAAAATACTCAGACTCAATTCATTGTACTCATGCCTGAGAAGCAAAGTAATTGGACTCAACTATTTGATCTTAATTGTACTTAATCACAATGATCAGCCATTCTTGGGGAAAAATTGGGTTTGTAGATTAGGGGTTAAACGTTGTTATGGTTTGATACGCGGTAACCTGAGGCTGCGATAACCCACCGCCGCGAGAGGGTGCTATCACGACCGACCAACATCGCCCACGGACCATGCCACGGACTTGTCAGAACAACAGCTAGGGAATCTCCTATTGGTTGTGTAATGCGCGCGCACCTGTTTGGCCTAATATATGCAGTGCGCAATTCAAAAAATAGTAGTTCAAAAGCAAACTCTTAAATTTCTACAAGTGCAATAAAAAATGCAGCAAGACCTTTGTGCAACTTCACTGGTCAGCTCTTTTGTTAAGTGTACAATGTAGTATGTGTAGGACTGAAAATGGACTGTAATTGCCTGCAGAAGTCGTGCATGTGCGCTAGTTTCCCCCATTTTTCAAGAGGATATTTCAGCAATTTCCCTAGACGTTGTTCTGACAAGTGATAGCGTCCTCTCGCAGCGACGGGTTATCGGGGCCGCAGGTATTATCACGTATCAAAGTCATAACAACATCTAGCCCCTAGACTATCAGTTGCGATGCAAGGAGCATACAAAGATTGTACGAAATTGCTTCAGCAAGTACAGAATTGACATTGCTGAATTGGAGGTTTCATTTGTCGCTCATTTGCTTGAGTATTTGTGTGGTTTTCACTCCAGCACTTCATAAAGATCTGCAACTCCTACCCAGAGTGGTCAGAGCACTCAACATCTTGGTACTCAGCAGTACCTACCGGTAAATGTATCTGTTGGATGAAAGTACCGGTATTCAACTTCAACACTAATATTATTTGTTTGTACTTGTGCAGGTATGGCATCCAATGTGACAGTTCAATCTGTCCTGGGAAAGATCAGCCAGGATCATCTAGAATGCTCCATCTGCTCCTATCGTTACGAGCAGCCCAAACTTCTGGACTGTTTGCACAGTTTTTGCCTGATGTGCCTCCATGAGCTCAGACAGCGCCAGGAACCTGAGAGTACCAAGCTACCGTGTCCTCTCTGCAGACAGGATACTACACTGAAAGGAGATGTCGCTGCCCTGCCTGATAACTTTACTTTGGGAGCCCTGGTGGAGGAATTCACAGTGCAGGAACAGCTGCTTGAAGGTCAAGGGTCAGAGATCACATGTCAAAACTGCGACGAGGGAATTAAAGCTGTCTCAAGATGCATGAATTGTAACTGTTTTCTATGTCTAGAGTGCGACAAGGCACACAGGCGAATGGCTTCGATGATAACTCATGAAGTGACCACAATGGCCCAGCTCCGTTCGGGAAAGATCTCCTACAAAAGCAAATTGAGAGAAGTGGTTCCGAAATGCAGGAAGCATCCAGACCAGAATCTCAGTATCTACTGCAACACGTGTGAGCAGCTGGCATGCACCACTTGTTCTCTTCTAGACCATGCCAAACACTCTCTCAAAGGACAGACGAAGGCCTTGCGCAAGTGCAAACAAGAAATTGCAGAGGCAACTGCAAAAGCCGAACAGAAAAGAACAGAACTGAGCACCGCAACAAAGGAAATTGAGAAGATTCGCAAAGCACTGGATAGTACGTTTGCTGACATCACCAAGAAAATCAAACAAAAGGTTGAAGAGGGGACCACTAGGATGTCAGAAGAGGGGCAGAAACTGAAGCAAGAGGCGGAAAAGATCTACAAAGACAGAGTCAAGACTTTAGACACTGCTCAAGCAACCTACAGCAAAGAAGCAAGCGACACAGAGCAGAAGCTAGAAGAGATGAAACAACTCACAGATCAAGCAAGCTGTCACGAGATGCTAGATCTCAAGCAGAAAATATTGCATAATCTCGGACAACTGACTGTGAAGCAGCCACAGAGAGTGCCTTGCGACTTGTCTTTCATGGACTTCCAGGGCAGTGAAATTACACGAGAAATAGGGAAGCTGTCTTTTGTGGATGACAGAACAAAATTGACAAGTCCGGCAAGGTATTGGCAAATAAAGACACAAAAATACAAATTTGGAAAAAATGAGACAGACTTTAAATCTGCCACTCAAGTAGCAGCATTCTCCGACAATGAAGTAGTCATTGTGGATGCCGAGTGCAAGCACCTGATAAGTATATCCCTCAAGACAACCACATCTCCTGCAGTCTGCAAAGAACTTGAGATTGACGATCTTCATAACCCTTCATGCGTGGCAGTGAACAAGCATGACCAACTCATTGTCTTAGCAGGTCCAGTTATCACGATTTTCAACTGGAACTATAAATTCCTTAGGCAATTCAAACCTGGTGTTTGTACAAAGCCATACAGCAAACCAACTTGTCTTGCAGTGGACAACAAGGATCTTATAGCTGTTGGTTATCAGAACAAGGAGGAGATATCCCTACACAGGCCCGATGGAACCCTCGTCCGGATACTGTCAGCACCAGGCATAGGTCACTACTTAACTATCAGCAAGGAGCGTCTTATCTATACCAACTGCAAAAAGTTAAAGTCAGTTGACTACAACGGCACCGTGGTGTTTTCATATAAAATAAGAGCTGATAATAATATCCCCAGTGATGCTGAAGGACTGTGTTGTGACAGGGATGGCAACATCTATGTTGCATTTTCTCTGTACAATGCAACAGATGAAATTCATCTTTTCAGTCCCAATGGCAAGCACAGTGGACGTGTCATCAAGGGATGTAATTATGCAAATGGCATGGCTATCATTCCAAATGGTGATCTCGTAATAGCTGCGGAAAGTTCAGTATGGTTCTACCGCAACAGAGATGAATTTGAATGATATCTTGATACGGAGCAGCAATCTCACTTATGCTCTGCCCGTCGTCAGAGTTTGCTGATGACGGGAAGAGCCTACTGTCAGAAATGTTGTGTTTCAACCAGTTCCTTTCAAAAGCACGCATGCTCAAACTGCATAATATACTTGTCTTTGTCACCTCTGAGAAGGTACATGAGCACAAAGTCAAGAATCCTTTTTAAAAAAATGAGTACCATCAACGATGATGGAAACATTAATAGTCAACTTGTTGACAAATGGATGTTGATGGATTTAGGGTTAGCTGGAGTTTTAGAAAATACGTTGTTGGTATTTTGGCTTTTGGACGTGTGGGTTAATTATGTTGGGCCAACACAGAGCTGTGTGAGTTGCCGGCCGTTGTAATATACAAACATGAAGGTGCCCTTTTTGTTGGATGAAATGGATTTTTGACACTTTTTTTTATACTGCCAAGTGTACTTAGAGTAATTTCAATTATTATAAGCAAAGTAGTTTCTTGAGATGGTGTCGATACAATTTCAGCACTGGTTCTTGTGAAAAAATTAAGTCTTCAAGTTTACAATAAACAAAATGTATTCGTGTGTAAATTTACATGCTCACTTGGTAGATACATGTAGTTGATCTTTTGTCCAATATTCTGGTGTAACTCATGTTCAGATAAAGTTGTTACTGCATGTAACTTTTCTGTAGAAAGGATTCCATATCTTTCTTTTAAAGGGCCCATGTAATGTATTTTTCTAATGCAGTCCTTTTAAATGCACCTTTGTGTCCCATTTAACCATAATTTCAATTTTCATTTTACCATTTTTAAGGGCATTTTTGGTGCATTTTGGGTTTTTATGCTAATGCGAATTTGAACTGAATGAGCAAAAGTGTGATGTCATTCCAGGTTGAAACCTAAATTATACAGCTTACATCAGCACCAACATTGCCAGAATTTTGGATATTTTGCTGTCGTAAATGTTCTTTTCTGTGGTGATTTATTGTTGTTTCAATACATGACAGGAGACCAATGACTAAAGTTTTCTCACAAATATTTTCCAATAAGCACATTTTTGGCTCACAATTTGAACAGAAAACCCCTAAATTTAGCAGTGTCTTCCTGACATGACGTCACAGCAACAGCGCCCTCATTTGTCAGGAAAACTTTATATGTTGAAAGAAGTGTTAAATAGTTTTCATACTTTTAAGAGAAGAAAAATGCACAAACTATGATCACAAGCAAAATACATGTCATGAGCCCTTTGACTTGTAAATAATAAACGATTACTCACGTTACATTTTTGATTACTCACATTGCAAATTGCAAAAGTTACTCACGTTACCAAATTTAGTTGCCTTTTATGCTGAAATTTGTGTATTAGTGTCAACAAAACACTTATATTTATATCTATGTTCATGCAAAGAATGATAATCCTTAATACCAAAATTTAATTCATTAGAAATGTTGGTGAGAAAAAACTTGTATATCTTTTCGGTTACTCACGCTACATTGACCAAAAAAAGTATAAAATGCTACTTTTTGACATCTAAAAATGGATGACGGCTGTGAATTGACATATGTTTCAGAGATTAGGACTATCATACATGTGGGCAATTCTTTGGTAACGGAATTACGGAATTTTGTCACTTTGTCAAGGATTATTCTTTCCCAAGAAAATATGTTCAATGCTAGGCAGCTAATCTAAACATGGAAAGGGAGCCAAGACCCAGTAGAATTGATTGAACGCTAAAAAAAAAAAAATCCCACAAGATTACCCTTTAAGGGGCGGAGCTTAATATCGGTAACGGAATTACGGACGGAGGACAAGCATATTTGAGTTCTTGCATAAATTAATAAAACTCTCTGAAGTTTTGAAATTTTAAAATTGGACACTACCTGTTATTTGTAGAGTTCAGGGGTGTTGTTAACTACAATGCAGAACAAAGTTGAAAAAATAATCACTCTTTTCATAATTTGCATTTTAATCACGGTAACGGAATTACGCCTGGGCGGTAACGGAATTACGCCATGGGTTTACATGTAATAGGTAAATGCAATACTTTTACATTGAATTCAACATAAACTCATCACAATACAAATTTTAGACGTTTATAAAATGCCACAAGGGGAAAGCTAAGTGAAAATTAGCAGATCAAAATGTAAATGTAGGCCTAAACCATGTAAACATGTCTGGGCTTCATTTTTTAGGTCAAAGGTCAAGGTCAAATGAAAGCAATATGTATATTTTTTTTACCGAAAATCTAATTTTACTGTGAACAATTGTATTATCGTATTTCACTAGTTTATCGTGGAAAATACAATAAAACTGCACTGGTTGGCATCTCTGAGCAAGGGAAGATGTTAAGTTATGCCAAGTAGAAGTACAAGTACAGTCTGGTACTCAACTTTCATATATACTTGTTGTGGAATATATTTTCTGTGGGTACCAGACAACGGCTTTGGCAACACATATTTAAAGGGAATGTACATCATTGGCTTTTGCTGTAATTTTAAGAAATGAACTATTTGAGGGGTTAGTATAATAGATCAAATATTGTTACACTGACATGTTTGAAGTTTTGCGTTCAAAAATGCTGGGAAAAACCAAGAAAAACAAAACTGTTCAAGTAGTCTGGTTCTCTGACTCCACTAAAGGTAAAATGGATCAATTTATAGATGCCGGAAAATTGGAGGATAAGGGAACCAGACTAGCTGGCCTGCACCCGTTCATGAACGTGTAACAAATAGCAAACAAAATTTGGACTTGAAAGAGTGTAAAGTACGAGCAGTAGTTGAAAAATAGTTAGGTTTTTCCAACGGTGGTCGGCCGACCACCGTTGGAAATGTATACAAAAAAACCATTTTCTTGAAAATTACTTCACACCAGGTGCCATAATTTTACAGGATGCTTTAGACTGTCATTTACCAACATCCTAGTAAGGTATTTCGTAAAAACTTGGTAGTTTTATTTTCTGATGTTTGAAAATATTGTATATTCCCTTTAAGCATCCAAACAACTATTTAGCATTCTTTAAATAGTAAAAAAGAAAACGTAAAAGTAAAAAATATCCATGGAACACCTGATTATTTTTAATTGTATAATAGCAAATTAAAGAGGGAAATGATTTAACAAGTAATTTAGTATTTAAAGTTATTGTCCAAGGTTACATGCAAATCTCCTATTTAATAATATGTCATGTACATAATCTGGAGGAAATGTGCATACTTTGTGCATGCGTAATTCCGTTACCGTAATTCCGTTACCGTTTCGTAATTCCGTTACCACTTGGAAAAATGCCAAGAAATTACTATTTTAAAGTTTTTATTTTTCATTTATGTTTATAGTAGGGTCTTTTCTCAACATACATGATTTTAAGAAAAAAAACAAGAAAATTTGTGAAATAAGTAACTTTTGCCATTTTTTCGGTAACGGAATTACGTGCTAATTTTGACATTTATAAAATGAAGGCCTACACTATATATATATATATATTTATATTTTTAGATTTTTTTTTAATGACCCTGAGTAATGTTAGTAACTTGTAACATCATAAAATAAATCAAATCTTTTCCCTATAATTCAGAAAGTAATACATACATTAAATTTTATTTTTTTACCAAATCTGAACGTTTTTAATCATAAATTGCAAAAATCACTGTTTTTACCAGAAATATGTATTTTTTTTCAATTTCGTTTTTTAAACTGAATACCCCATTTAATTGAGGTCTGGAAAAAGTACAAAAAAGGTTTAATATGTAAATATTTATTTTTGACATTTTTTGCTCTCCCATGGAGAATTGCCCATGTACATGCTAGAAATAAGGTTATGATTGAAATATCTCTAATTGCATTAACAGCAATCAATGTTTAAACTTTACCAAATTTTTTGAGTTTTTTTGTAGTAAAAAAATATTTTTCACTTTCGATTTCTCAAAAAATGTTTGATAAAATTGGGTTTTCTTTGTTAATTTCTCATACTTGTAATCTGTAATGAAAAAAAATGTGAAACTGGGTTAAAAAATAAAACTTTTTTTTTCTTAGCCATGTCCATCAAACCGTGGAATTGCCCTAAAGGATAGATGAACGACATTGCTAAACATTACATTTTTGTAAAAGTTGGTCATGGAGAAGCAAATTAGCATACATTTTAGTGGTGGGATTTAAATCCCAATAAAAAAAAGAAAAGAAATTATTCTGTTTGGAATTTGGAAACCGAATATTTGAAACTAACCTTAAAAATAATTAGGCCTTCCATTTGTTGTGACACAGGCTAAAGACAAAAACTGGAACAACCCCTAATTTGCTCCACAGTCTCTGATTGCAACTGCATGCACTTTCTGTGGTCTTCTTGGTACATGAATAACCTGCCCATTTGACTCATCAGAGAGTTCACATCCTTCTTTTCAACATTACAGCTCTGGTGTGTTTTTGTAAAAGGCCCAGTGGTCGTTGAATTCTGCAAACTACACCCAGTCATTGGGAGGGCATTTCATGTGGCACCTCACTCGTCAGTTTTTGTTGGCATGACTGTGAGCTGGATGAGAACTTCCGGTGAAATCAAATAATCGTTACTGAGTTGGAAACAAATTGGATAACTGGCTTTTTAAATCTCCGATTTCTCCCACCAGTACTATATTTTTAATTCACACAAGTTTACAAGTTTATTAGCCTTATACTCTGTCTTTTATTTAAATCACAGTGAAGATTTCTTTTAGACGCATGCTCTGAGTTTGAGGTAATCCATTATTGGATGCATGGTTCAATAAAGAATTCCTGTTTCCTCTGGTTGAAAACTGCTTGTTCAACTTGTACAAATAAAAAGAGGCGTCACATTGTGACAGAGTCTCTCTGACAATTGTGCTCAGTTAAAGTGTTTTAAAAAATACTCTAGAAAGAAAAACAACATAAGTTTAAAGAGTACACAGAGTGTCAATGCTACAATATCAGGCAGAAGAGGTAGGCACGCCGACACCGCGTTTTTAGGAAGTTTTTTATTATTAGGCAAATTAGGATCGAGGTATGGGGACTTTCTGCTGTCCCCACAGTGTCTTCGGTCCCCTTAGTATCATGGGTACAACTCGTGTGTAGTCCTCACAACTACGAAACAAGTACATGTATGCGTGGGTAGGCCTACACCGCGTTATGGGAAAGTTTTTTATTGTTAGGCAAATTAGGAACGAGTTATGGGGACTTTTTACTGTCCCCACAGACTTTTTGGTCCCTACAAATACCTCGTACAGACGAGTGTATGTCCCCACAACTACGGAACAAGACTGGGTGAATATGTGCGTGTTCACAAGTTGATCAGGTGGTGAAGACAATTCCCCCGTGAAGCCGGTGAGGCACTAAAGCACTGTTGTTTTCTATAAATGTGCTGTCAATTTCAGCGAAACTTTCAGGCACCAATTATTGA